GGTGAGAGTAGCAAAAACACCACCAAAACCAACACAGTGAGACCGCAACAAGGGCCTCGAATAGATCCAACAGGGTAAGGCAATCCAAACTAACCAGGAAAGCACCAACAAGGCTCTCAAATAGAGCTCTCGGGTAAGGGCAGCAAGACAACAACCTACACCAGCACAGGAAACCCAACAAGGCTCTCGAATAGAGCTAGCAAAAGAGAAGAAACATGATAAAACCCCAATCCAAAAGATCCACAGCAGAAATAACCATCTGCGTATGATTCAAGTAGAGGGGCAACAAAGGAGCACAAGACAAAACTCCGAAGGCCCCAAAGCCAAAAGTGACCATCTGTATATGTTTCGAACAGAAGGGCAACAAAGAAGCAACAAAACAAAGCCCCAAAATAAAACTCCAAAAGCTCCAAAGCCAACAAAAGAAAAGTAACCACCTACATGCGTCTCGAACAGGGGAAGGGTAGCACTTAAGCCCCAAAGCCAAAAAAAAAAAAAAAAAAGGAAACCATTTACAATCTCGCATAAGGGCAGGGGAGCAGAAATTAAACTCCCAACAACAAGTGGTCAATTTTGTAACCATGTCAAAACCTTGTCGTATAACTGGAGCCAGGAAATCCATCAAACCAAACCAAATATGTTCCAAAATTCCAAAGCCAAATGAGTCCACCAAAAAAAACATTGCACACATATAACCCAAGAACCATTAAATAAACCCAGATAATACAACTTGCGGGTAAAGGTAGCCAGGGACGAACCGATAGAGAAAATAGAGAACTGATAGTGCTGAAACAACCTTTAGATTTCAGCATAAATGTACAGATGTAATAAGAGCACAAGAAAGAAGCCTGCACCTGCATAATACTTGAATAGTTGCCTTTTGTAAGCCTAATACTCTTAGCTAACAGCATGAAGCAATTAGATCAAGGCCAACAGAAACACTAAAAGTCTAAAAATCCATAACTGATAGCAATTTCAAAATGAACTACCAGGTAAGACAAACAAAACAATACGTATGTATTTCCTTTTTTTTCAGTAAAGAAGAAACTTGCTCGAGCCTTTTTTATCCCGTGGAGTGTGTCCAACCTATGTTGAGCAGAGAAGAAGAGCAGAAAAGAGGATAAAATACATTGCTTGAGCTCTTGCAAACAACAAAAGAAAGCCAAAGAACCCCTAAACACCAAGTCCACAAGCGCCTAACCAAGAAGAAATTTCGGCAGTCCCCCCAGGCTCCAAATTTTCGTCACCTCACATAACCCCCCTCTCATGGGACTTTATAGGCGCAGAAGAGAGGGGAGAAGTTCACCGTAACTTACCCCGGGGTGAATCGAACTCAGGGATTGATCCAGCAAAAGAAAACAACCACAACAAGAGCCGCAGGGGTCGAAGGTATCGGGAAGGAGAGTGCTTGCCGCATTCGTGACACAGGGAACAAACTCGCTTGGGTCAACTTACCATAGTGGGAATTGAAGACTCACGAATGAGCTCCTCGCTCAGCGAGACAGACAGGAGACGTTTCGGGAAGACGCAACTTGGGTAGAGAGCGTCGAGAGAGGGTCAAGAGTCAACTCCTCGTCACGTGAGGAGGGGGAAAATACAAGGGGGAAGGCGAGGCTAGGGCTCCACTCGGGATAAGGCATGGGGAGGGGACCATAAGCTCTGCGAAGGAGAGGAGCAGAGGTCGATTTGGGAACAAGATCAAAGGGGCAGCCGTGAGTTAGGGATTTGGAAAATAAAAAAAAAACCCCTATAGGATCATATATATATATATATATATATATATATTGATTTTATAATATTTGATATTTAAATTCCCTCGATTTGCGCTCTTTTCGCTCGTGCACAAGACTATATCAAAATGGATGTCCCTCCTGACTAAATTCAAAGTCTCGGACACATCGGCGCTGTCCGTTTCGTCATCCGGATTTTCTTCGGACGACTTCGCCGACAATCGGGTCGAAAACTCGACAAATTCAAATTTTCTCAAAATTCTCGCTCTTGATCGATCATTCCAGCAATTGATTCGAGTTTGATCAATCGCAAAGCCCTCTACATATGCAAATGACATGAATTTCGATAATTACGTGCATCGAACGTGTGAATTGTGGTATTCGTGCATCGTGAAAGCGCGAGAAGGTCGCAATGGGTTTTCTATGGTTTCAGATTCTATGGGTACTCGACTCGAGCTTCATTACGTTGGTTTTGTTTGACTCAACCAAATATTGAGGATTTAGAACCATCCATATGAAACTGCAAGGAGACAAGAAGTGACTAGAATTTCTAGCTGGTGCGGGTCTCGGACTAGTCCTCTAAGAAAGTCCCACAGGAAGTCCTAAGTCTAGCCATAGGCTTTAAGAAGAAGAGACATCACCAAAAATGAGGTCAACAACCACTACACTGGTCATCTCACTATCTCTCGCCGCCAGCCCAAGAGCGGCTAAGTGCGATCTCACTCGTTATCTCCCTCCCTTGATTCCACGGAGAGAATTCCCCAAGCTCAAGCCTGGATTTGTGAAACCATGTCAAAGGCGGGAGCCACTGCTAGTGGACTTCGAACGAAGGAGAGGCTCTGTCGAGGCTGACCGAGTTAAGAGGAAGACGGAGTAGAACGAAGACGACATAGGCGAAGAAATAATGAGACGACGAGCAGACGAGCGAGAATCAATGCAAAGAAATAGTTTCTCCTTTCCCGCAAGAAGGCTGACGGGAAGGGAGCCTTGACGGTCCTCCAATAACTACCGGTGGTTAGGGCAAAATTTTGGCTCTGATACCATGTCAAAATTCAGAGCCAAAATTTTGAGAAAAATATACTGAATTCTGAATAGGCTCGATGTCTTTTCCCTTTGCTTTCTTTCCATTAAATAATAATCTTACAATCTATTTTAGGTACAAATTATTCTCTATAATCTATTTTAGGTAACTTGATCATATATATTCTTAATCTAAGTATTTAGCTAAAATGAAAATAAATCAGAATAAAAATATTAGAAATATTTTAAATAAGGAAGCTCCTAATTATAGAAAACTTCTAATTTAGCTGTCTGATTTCCGTCATTCCTGATTGACACACCTTCCTTGCAACACAAAGCCATAGTACCCACATCAAAGACTAGATGCCATCTAAACATTGTTCTTACCGTTTCTACCTTCCTAAAACTTGATATTCTCCTTTTGTTGATGTATGTATCATATCTTGCTATGGAATTGTGGACTCTGTTTAAACACTTATTTGCTGATTACCGAGGAACTAGGAGTACATTACAAAAAGGCTGTTGTTGTCTGAAGGATTAAATTCAAAATTCAAAGAGAGAGATCACTCTAATCATTGAGTAAAGAATCAAAGCCTTAGATAAGTTTTTTCTCGCACGAGGCAACACTTGAGGCACCTTTAATTGATTGATAGAAGACCCCTTTAATCCTTTTTTATTCTCTTAATATATTGACAAAATATCAATAGAACCTTGAGAGAAATTGTTGAAGCCTTTTAATCTTTGTATATTCTCTAACATGATTAATAAAATATTAATACACACAAAAATAATTCTCAAACTATTCTAAATTCTCTTTTTAGTCTCTACAATTGAGAGTTTGATCTTTTTAAGGAGTCTCTAAGGATCAAGTTGGTATTAGAGAGTATGTTTCTGGTGTATGGTTCAAACAAAAAAGAGGTTATTAAAGAATGAGCAAACCTTTTATAATCATTGATTCACATGAAAATACAAGAAAGAGGCAACACCAAGAAATAATTGTATAAAATGGGTTTCTTCCAATCTAGTTGATCAAGTGACTAGATTAATGGAACAAATGTTGATGATGATTGAATGTAAAAAAGTGCGTTAAGCTATGTCCACATGAAATTCTGATGAGTCTACTCACTTTGAACTCCTCTAAAAAGTAGAAGGATGGGAAAGGTTAGATTTCTGTTGTTATCAACACCTTTTTTAGTCTAGCGGACAAAATGGACTCATCTGTATTTTTGGTGGCAATCCTAAAGGATATAGCAGCAGGTCCATTATGGACACGCGAGAGTAATTGTTTATCTTGAGGATAAAACTCAGGCAAGAGTGATGAACGTCATCATCAGTACCATCAACCACCAAAAAACTTAATTTTTGCTAATTTGGTTGGGTTTGGCGATCAATACTTATCTTAAATAAGAGGAAGCATTTCTCTTAGTGAAAAAGATGAAAATTTGGGTTGGAGGAAAGCGTTCATGTTTTTACAATGAGCACAACTCTCCAATACTAATGCAGAATGAAAGAACTGTTGCATATCGCCCTGAGATATGATCGGGAATTCATAACTATTATCCCACTCATGAAATTGAGTTATTAAACAATCAGGGAATTGGCATGCTTACTTTATGGGGAAGGAAACTGTTGCACACAGATCACAAACCACTTTAGTATTTGTAGATCTGATCCAAAGCTGCAATAGACCTGATATATGAAGTGGGTGATTTATTTCCTCCAACAGTCAACTTAGAGTCATGTACAAAAAGAGGATTACCAATAAATTGGCCAATATGGCTCTTGGCTAACGCTAAACCTTTCATGTTTAAGTTTTATTATATCCTATAAGAATTTCTTCTTTGAAAGATATTAAATGATTTAAATGTGAGAATCTTATTCATGCTGTATATAGTGCGTGCTAGATTTAAGAGACCAAGTTCAATGGATGTAGGAGATGCACACATCGAAGGTTGCTGGATAGTTTGTAGTGGGGAGGAGTCTATATCGTTATATTTATTGTCCAAAATTGATTTAGTCCATCTCCAATCTCTACTCTAAGTTGGATTACCTGGATTTGTTTCATTTATTGTTAAAAGGGTTACATGCACAATCATTCAAATGTTACTTATCTGAGTTCTAAAGATTCACAGATTTACATGCCATTATTGAATCTGTTTGTGTCATGTTTATTGAATGTGATTGATAACCTTGACTGATTGGTTAGTAACCCTGCTTTTTAATCTGCCTTTTGGTCTTCTCCTTGATCAGGATAGAATTAAGAGATGAGTACAGGCTTGAAAATCGGAGAGCTTTTGGAAATATCTGGTCGGATATGGTCTACGGAGTAACCTTATTCATTCTAATTTATGCAAATAAAAGCAAAGTAAGTTATCAACTTGATTACCTTACCAATTATTCTATTTCTTTTAATTAGCATTGTTTGTATTCTTAAAATTGTTGAATATTTTTTTATGTTGCTATTGATATTCTTATTATATGTTCAACACTGAAAATATTAGCCACTTCCTATTATTACATTATTTGAATTACTTAGCCAAGGGTCCTTTGTATTTTTTGTAGAAAACTGGACAATTTGATATTTTTAAATCTTAAAGGGTTATTCTATCTTTCTTCATGGGCACAAACTTGCTCTTTAATTTATGCAGTGTTGAAGTGGGATGCTATTGGCGTTGGGTTGTTCTAATTTTTCTTCTAGTTCTGATAATTAAGTTTGTGGTCTTGGTTGTAGAGCCAGTTTGATGTATGTTTTTCCTGGATTTGTTTGTAGAGCCTCTGTTCGGCTGTTTGGATGATTGTTTGTGAAATTTTAAAATGTGATTTTAATCATTTTGGATTTAATATAATCTTGAATTGATATGTTCCCAAGTGACCATATCCACTAAGTTAAGAATAATAAGTCTATAAATAGAAGTTTAAGACATACAAAAAGAGAACATTTGACCCAATTAAATTTTCATTGAAAATTTCAATCTTGCATCTGCAAATTGGTTTTGTGATTCTTTTGATCATGGTACAAGTGCAACTACTTCTATAGGAAGTAATTTCCTTGCAACAACTTGAGATCTAGATTTTTTCTTTTTTATGGGTATTTTCGCTTCTCTTTTTGTCATATACATAGTTAGATATTGGCAAGTGTTTTTTAGTTTTTTCAAAATTTTCCACATTTGAAATTCAATTTGTGAAAATTAAATTACAATGGCTCACTGAATTTATATGCTTTTAAACCCACATTTTTCTAAAATTCTTTTGGTCATTCTATAATTAATTAGGTTTTAATTTACCGTTAGTTTACATTTAGATAAAGCATATGGTAAGCACAACTTTAGATCATGAAGAGAGAAATATCTCATAGTTATAGTTCATCTATCATCAATAAATTACGATGGACATAGTTTGGTTTTATAACTATTATATTTGATTATTTTGCAGTGGGGGAAGTAATTGATTCAAAATATATTTATATGCACTTTTTTGTTGTGTTCAGGTTGCTTTGCTGAAGTTTACAGGGTATAAGCTACTAAATAATATATCAGATTCAGGGAAGGCATTTCTCATTATTCTTATTACTGACATTTTTTTGGGGTAAGCTATTCAGTCATTTTCTTTTTGCGCACGTCCATTTGATGATAAGAATGATCATGGTGATGCTGAAGATGCTTGAAAATAAGATCTAATATGGGTACCTTTATGTATTGGTGTAGGACCATTTCAGTACAATCAGCTACTCTAAACGTCTAGTTGGTAAAGACGGAATAACCATGGCTTTATAATTGAATATTTTGTGTCCCTCGACCCTCAAATACCGTCAATCCACAATATGAAAAAACTTATAAAGTATTTTATTTCAAGCCCGCAACTCTTTCCATTTTTTACCATAAGACACGACATTTTTTACCCATTGGGCTGTTTGGTTTGTTGCAAAAGGAGTGCCCAATATTCCTTTTACAAAAGTTTCAAGAATCTGGGTGTTTTGTAGGATGAATTTCAAATGCAGTATAAAATTACAATATATTTGAAATTCTTTCTGTAGTTTATTTTCAATGTATTTGGAATTCGCTAGATGTGAGTGAATTCCATATCTAGTGAATTCCAAATACACCCTGATACCGGAGTTAACCCAAACCACAAAGAAACACAAATTTTATTGTTGAAATTCAAATAGCTTATAACGACGACTTTTCAAAATAGGAAGCAAATGGTAAACGCATAAAAAGACACCGTAGGGCGACGATGATGGGGATGGATGGTTGCTGGTAGGAGGTGGTGGTGACAACAGAGTGTTTGGAGATGGGTTGGCTGACCTGTCGGAGGCAACATGTGTCAATATTTTTGAGCAAATAGGTTGAATGTCTTTTTCCTTTGCTTCATTCCAATAAATAATGGTTTGTACAATCTCTTTTAAGGTAACCTAATAACTATTCCTACTCTAAATAAGAAGAGAATATGTACATTTAAAAGAAATAAATCGGAAGAGAGAAATTTGGAAATAATTTAAATAAAGAAGCTCCTAATTATAGGAAACTTCTAATTCAATAATTCAATTGCCTGATTTCTGTGATTCTTGATTGATATTCCCCCTCAAATTGATATTGATTGATCAAGAAGTATCAATTTGCCAACAAGAAATTGACGACGTTGTTGAGAAAGTGTGTCAATAGATCCCAAAATCCAAGAAACAGTCTGAGCATCCTTTGCCTCCCATTGACCAAGATCTTTCGGCTCTGTAGGTGTTGGAGAAGATCCATCAATATGACCTCAAAACTCCCTTACTTTCAAAAACATCTTAAACTGAAATTCCCATGCTACATAATTTCTTCTCGTAAATCTGATAGCTAAGATTTCAGAAGACATTCTAAACAGAATTATCGCTCCCAAGTTGATTACCAAGAAGCAGACGCAATCAAAGGCGAAGCAATCGATGGCAAACGAAGGTGGACTAAACAGTCGAAGGAGGTTAAAGACGTCGGAAGCTGGCAACGAAGATGGAATGAGCTCGAGTAAAAGCTGGAGACCAATGATTCCAAAGGCAAGTCATGACCAATGATTCAGATCGGATCAAGACGTGGCTCTGATACCATGTCAATATTTTCGAGCAACTAGGCTGAATGCCTTTTTCCTTTGCTTTCATTCCAACGAGCAACTAGGCTGAATGCCTTTTTCCTTAGCTTTCATTCCAATAAATAATAGTCTGCACAATCTCTTTTAGGTAACCTAATAACTATTTATACTCTAAATAAGGAGAGAATACGTATACTTAAAAGAAATAAATCAGAAGAGAGAGATTTGTAAATAATTTAAAGAAGGGAGCTCCTAATTATAGGAAACTCCTAATTCAACTACCTGATTTCTATGATTCTTGATTGATAGCAGGGAGGAGAGTACGGTGTTGTTGTTGTGTTGTTGGTGAAGGGTATGAGCTGGTTGGGGGTGGATTGTAAGGTGGAAGGAGGGTTAGCTGGACTATAGATGGAGGAGAGGGGTTGGCTGGCTGGTAGAAGGCAACATGGAGGGGTGTATGGCAGGGGGAATAGCGGGAAGCAGGGAGATGAAAAATGATGAGACTGGATAGACCTCATATATCTAATAGTTTAAATAGCTGGGCACGATACCATAAATGATATGTCATCTCGAAGAATGAATGTATCACTTATTGGTAGACTTAACTATGTAAACTTAAAAGTTTATGACTCTATTTTGGTCTGCGAAATTTATAGCCGACAAATTCCCTTTTCCAATACACAAGTTATATAGGGTTTAGATTAATTTGGATTCTTAATTCCTTATATAGGCAAACCCCTATAATTAATTATATCTTAGACAACCGAAGTCACTTAAGAAAACTCTCGATTAAGATCGGAGTTTCGTCTTTAAGAATTCAACGTTTATGTTTCCATGATTGCTGATAGGAAAAGTCAAGTGGGATAGGTTCAAGTAGGAGCAGTTATTTTTAGAATCCAAATGAGTGAAAAAGTATGAGATATCGAAGATACTGAAGAAACTTCAGTGGCACCTCAAACTAACTTATGATTTTGCTTTACATCTTTGAAAGAGAAATTATTTGATGTTTCGTTCCTGTAAGTTCTTTAGATATTTGAGACTTTTATTTACATGTCATATGTATATGACCCGAGAAAATAGAAGGGTTTGTCGTACCAAACGACGACCTCGGAATCCTAAAAGCTTAGGACTTATACCATACGATATAAAATCGTAGGATGTCCTAAAAGATAATGTGAGGATTTACGTCGTACCGGACGAAGAACCTCGCCTATCCTAGGGTACTGTATAAACATGCCAAAAAGGTATTAACTAAAAGCATGAGTACAAGTGAATGTATACAGTGCAATAAAGAAAGAAGAAGCTATGTAACAAAGTACACTAGAGAAAATACAGTGCAATAAAGAAAGAAGAAGAAGCTATGTAACAAAGTACAGTAGAGAAAATGCAAAGAACATGTAGAAATGTACAATACAGTATAGAAAGAAATGAAATATACATTAAAAAAAGTAAAGAAAATAAATAGATAAAAGCGTACCTGGTTAAATTTTGTTGATGCTTCAAAACAGATTGCAATTGCATAATATAAATGGATTAGATAAACATTTGCAAGTTATATATAAAAGGCTTAAAAAGGAAGTTAAATGATAAGCATATGAAAATTCAAAGTGGGGTATAAGATTTTAATTTGGGGATAGGCGCAGACTAGACTTTATGTTCTCTAATCTCGTAGGCAACCAAAACGTCAAAGTCTATATATCAATATCAATTAAAAGTCACCAGTAAATCACCCCTAGAATCAGACAATTCTAATCCTTACCACTTAGTTGATGAATGAACCAGTGTGTAGTATCTGAACTTTAAAAAGAAATGTAATATCTGTTCTTATAGTATCTGAATTTTAAAAGAAAGGTGCAGTGTGTTTATATGCAATATCTGATATGTGATATCTGGTGCGTAATATCTAGTGTATAACATGATGTGTAGTTTCCGGTGTATAGTATGTGATATGTGGTGATGTGTAATATCTGGTGTAGAGTATGTGATATGCATGATGTGTAGTTTCCGGTGTATAGTATGTGATATGTGGTGATGTGTAATATCTGGTGTAGAGTATGTGATATGTCACAAATGTAGTATTTGTTGTGTAGTATGTGATATGTGGTGATGTGTAGTATCTGATGTATAGTATGTGATATGTCACAAGTGTAGTATCTGTTGTGTATTGTGATGTGTCACAAGTGTAGCATTTTCCGTTGGTTCACAAATTTCTTAAGGATAGGGATAGAACTACCAACGATTCAAATGATGAAAAGGGCATCTATAATTGAATATTGATTTAAATTTCAGCTATAGAAGCATGAATATAACATTTTGCATCATTGTCTTTTACCCTGCATCTCAAACTTATAAGCCACCTCGATGTTTCATATGCTTATCAAATAATTTTTAGATATCTCATGTCAAAAGATCTCGAGAGAAATTAATTTCCAAAAGATTCTATAACATCATCCTCCCACCTTCAAGTTCAAACTTTAAAAACATCACATATTTTATATACAAATTTCTCAAAAGTAGGTTTATATCTTCATATTATCAGGTTCAACCATGGAGAACAGCATAACCTGTTTGAAAAGCCAAGTTAAATAATAACAGTTGAAGTTAAATTTCATACTGACCTTCTTTCCCGAATATTAGGCCTGAATTGAGATCTAGCCTTATAAAAAAAAAAAACTTTGAGCCCCACATAACAACAGCTCCATAGGTAATGGTTATATAAACAGAACGATTAAAGGATTCAATTTCAAGCACGTGTACTCATCGTGAGAGTAGAATGTAAGAACAATTGAAGATTATAGAGTAAGCTTAAGCCACCTCTTCTTCATAAATTCAAGCCGAAGTTATTATAAATTTGTAGACAGTAAAGAATCGCATACCATAAATGGCCAATATCGAAAATCCTTCTCAGGCCATTCCCAAATCTAATTTAATATATCATGCTATGAAATTATAAGCAACATCAAAACACTCTTGATAGCTTTTGAAACATATAGTTAAAAGATCTTTACAAATGTTCTTAATCAAATACAATTCAGCATTAATCCCCAACGGGAATATATATTCCTGTAACAAAATTGTAAACTATAACCAAGAATATTTATGACATAAATTCTTTCCCCAAAGAGCAATTCATTCTCGCATGAAGCAAGCAAAGGCAAAACCATCGAATATCTATTACCAATTTTAAAATCACCCTTATTCTATTTGCAGTGAAAAGGGACAAAACAATAATAACTCAGTAACAAACCAATCTTCCTCAATAAGCATCATGTATCCATTGATCCATTTTTTTTTAAACAATATTCAATATTATGCTTCAATGTTTAACAATGTTTAAGAACTACTAATGATGTAAGCCAAAAGAAGAAATCCAATTTCTTGATAAATCGAAGTAGATTTCACCCTGATTTGCTAATAAACATGAAAATCCCTTTTGTAATCCATGAAAAATGAGGCAAATACTAATGAGGAGAAGTTCTGTAAATAGAAAAAACTTTGTTGAAGCAAAATATTTCATCCTGCAATCAAGAACAAAACAAGGAGAAGGGAGAATTCTTACTTTCAGGAACTGTAAAAGAAAACTCAGAAGCAGAATTTCTCAAATCGCAAGAAAGAAGCACCAGCCTAAAATTCTTCCTTAGCGCATGAATCAAAATCCCAATCCCGAAACTCTCCCCCAAAGGAGGTATTTATAGCCGAAAAGGGGAAGAGGTACTTTACCAACTAATCTACCGGCGGTGAAGAGAAAAACCGCAAGAGGCAAGAAAATACCTATATTCAAGCATAGAAAGGTTACCATATTCAATTGGGCGGGAAAATCTGTTAGAGAATGGTTACCAGCGAAGCAACCGACAACGAGAATCGGTTAGGGCTCGGAAGGAAGGAAGGTGACCGGAGAACTGGAAGGAAGCTTCGAGATCTTAACCGAAAGAGGGGCAACTGTTTCGGCCAAGAGGAGGTGTGAGCAAGGGGGAAGTCGAATGAACCGTGTGCTTGAGTTTATTATTTTTTTTATTAAAAAAAAAAACTGCTTTATTTAAATTCGTCATTTTACGCACAATTCGGATCAATTCGGAATCTTATCAAAATAGGTGTCATTCCTAGGTGATTTCGATGTTCCGAACATGCCGGCGCAGTTTGTCATGCCGGTGCAGTTTGTTTCGTCATCCGGAGTCACTTAGACAAATTTGTCGAATATCGTACAAATTTTACTTAAATCATGCGCGTCACGAGAAATGAAGTTATATTGGTCCGATCGGAGCTGTTTAGCAAGTATATCGTTGACCGGTCCTCGCATAAGCGACAATCAAAGTCAAGTAGACTGCTCGATGCGGCAAGTCAAACGTCGCACGCGTCATGGGGTCCACCTATGTCTTTCAAATTCTTTTAGAAACTCAACATGAGCTTCAATACGTCGGCTTTAATCAACTCAACCAACTGCTGAAGATTTAGAACACATGCCGGCGCAGTTTGTTTCGTCATCCGGAGTCACTTAGACAAGTTCGTCGAATATCGTACCAATTTAACTTAAATCGTGCGCGTCACGAGAAATGAAGTTATATTGGTCCGATCGGAGCTGTTTAGCAAGTATATCGTTGACCGGTCCTCGCATAAGCGACAATCAAAGTCAAGTAGACTGCTCGATGCGGCAAGTCAAACGTCGCACACGTCATGGGGTCCACCTATGTCTTTTAAATTCTTTTAGAAACTCAACATGAGTTTCAATACGTCGGTTTTAATCAACTCAACCAACTGCTGAAGATTTAGAACCGTCCATATGAAACTTCAGGGAGCTAAGAAATGACTTGAATTTCTAAATATTGTGGGTCCTAGTCTAGCCTCTAGGAGAATCAAAATAGAAAAATCCTAAGGCTATATCCTAGGGTGAAAGGGAAAGTAAGACCTCAAAGTTGAGGTCAACAGGAGATGGGGGTGCAGGAGGATGGTAGCAAGCAGGAAAGGAAATATACACACCACCTTGGGACGAGTTACGACTAGAACACCTTTTCGTCGGCATTTACTGCTCTATAAGGGAAAAGGGTGATGCCGACGGCTATCCAAAAATAAATCTTAGTCAAAATATAGCCCTAAATAAAACAAATGACAGGTTTATGGTGGTAGAGAGTAAGGAGGACTTGCTGCAACCCTAACCCAAATAATTGGGTTGGTTGGCCCCCCGCCTCCCTCGTTGAACTGGTCCAGCCTTCCCAGCTGGGTTGGCCCCAGTTCAGTAACCCCACATCACATCGCTTTGCGTAATGTTGCTCGCTGTCATTGGCCGCTACAGACACCCTTTGCTGGTAGCCATCCGCCGCTCACCTTTCGCCAATCTCCAACACAATCCCTTTGTCGCTGGTCGTCGATAACATATTTTACATTGATTTTATTTTTCTTCAAAAAAATAAAAAAATGTAAAGTACTCCATTTACTTTACACTAACCAAACAACCTCTTACAAATATCATATATTACTTTTGCACTATATTTTTTTTATAGCGCATTCCTTTTTCAGCAAGCCAAACAGCATCCGCGTTTCTCACCGTTTTGCGCTTAATTGCATAATAAAGGATGCAAACTTATTATCTGCCATGACATGATTTGATTTTGTGCCACTTGGTGCAACTAAGTACTACAAAAGCTCGATTTTTTGGAGAAAGAATAGACAATGCTTCAAACCCCATGGTCTTGCTGCTCCAACTCTTCAATGTGGTGAATGAAAACCTCCTTTCACTCGATTGTCAATTGTGATCAGATTCATATTACTTGATCATCTGCCATTAATTGCGAATGTACATTACATTTGTTTTCTTGCTCTCTTTATAACCTCCTTTCACTCGATCGTCAATTGTGATCAGATGCATATTACTTGATCATTTGTCTTTAATTGCGAACGTACATTACATTTGTTTTCTTGCTCTCTTTATACCCTTTCATGATATTTGTAGAGAATATTTGTTATATCAATGAGGCATACGACAACAACAACAACAATAAGACCTTTATCCCACTAAGTGAGGTCGGCTATATGAATCTTTTTTCTCCATCCATTAATTGCGAATGTACATTACATTTGTTTTCTTGCTCTCTTTATAACCTCCTTTCACTCGATCGTCAATTGTGATCAGATGCATATTACTTGATCATTTGTCTTTAATTGCGAACGTACATTACATTTGTTTTCTTGCTCTCTTTATACCCTTTCATGATATTTGTAGAGAATATTTGTTATATCAATGAGGCATACGACAACAACAACAACAATAAGACCTTTATCCTACTAAGTGAGGTCGGCTATATGAGTCTTTTTTCTCCATTGCGTCCTATTTAGTGTCATATTTTCATTTAATTCTAATAAATTAAGATCATGTTTTATACAATATGCTCGAGTCTTCCTAGGTCTACCTCTGCCTTTCTTAACATAAGTCGAATCTGAAACATCTGCTCTTCTAATCAGATCATCAAATGGTTGAAGTTTAATGTGAAGATGAGGCATAACTAAACTGAAAATAACCTTTGAAAAAAATAAGGAAGATTTACATATATACCAAGTATCTAATACAAATTTTAATTTTTACATACATGCCACATTTCTCTATGCATGAAAAGCTGTATTTAATTATCTAATACAAATTTTAATTTTTACATACATGCCACATTTCTCTATGCATGAAAAGCTGTATTTAATTATCTAATACAAATTTTAATTTTTACATACATGCCACATTTCTCTATGCATGAAAAGCTGTATTTAATTTTTAGAAAACTAAAATAGTGGTATTTTTTATGTGATATGGAATATTTGGCTGGTTTAAATGTAAAAGGTAAAATTTGTCTGTTAGATATGTAAATTCATAAGAATTGAGTCGTATATATGTAAATGCTTATAAAAATAAATATTTGTTAAATGAGGTTTGTTTTAATCTAAGAAAGATTGAAGCAGTGCAAGTTGATCGACTGTGCTATAGGATTCAAGTTATAGCTAACAAAGAGGCCATTGCAGTGAAGCTGGTGTGGCAACAAATAGGATGTTTAAAAAAAGGGATAATTACATACAGAGCACCCGAAACATTGATATTTACAAATCTAGCGCCCAGGTGATTTTTTTTAAGTACGGAACCCATGCATTTAGACATGCCACAATCAAACTATTGTGAATTTGATAACAATGAAAAATAAGGGTTCATAGTTTTATCATGTGATATGCATATAATTTTTTTTTTGGAAGTCTTGTGCCCAATAATCTTATTTTTTGGGGAATATTACATACACACACCACTATTCTTAGGTATTTACACTGCTAACACACCTAAAGTTTGATATTTAAATTTATAATATTTTGGTGCTATAAACTTTATGCATTAAAAGTTTGAGTTGTAAGCATGTAAATATAAATGTTTAGGTGTTTGATTTGTAAATATTTAAGATTTGTGTGATATGTATGTGAATACCCCTATTTTTTTGTTCTAGCTCGCTTTTTTTTTCGAGTGGCCGTATAGAAATACGTTTAGTCCACTAATATAACCACATATTACATAATTGTGGAATTTCAGGTACCATTCAGAGTCTGGTTGGCAGGCTCTTATAGAAATAATTCTTGATCATTATGGTTTAGAAGTTGATCAAGCTGCAATAACCATTTTCATCTCCACCTTCCCTGTCTTCATTGACGCTTCTGTCAAGTTATGGGTAAGTTGCATAATGTTGCCTGCACCGTACTTACAGAGAATATGTTCTACGTACATACCACTTGATTCTCATGTATTTACGTTTCGAAGACATAAGCTTCAATTTTTTAAATATATGTCACCTGTCCTGAGCGATTATTGCGTGCGGAAGGCGCACGCACCACTGTCATACAGCCGCGATGTGCGGCTGTGATCGGAGGGAGGCAGCCGGAATTGGGGGGGCCTACGTGCGCCCTCCGCACCTAATAATTAGACCACCTGTGCTATGCATGAATTGAGTGGCATTTAGTAATAGGTCAGAATTGGGTGGAATTTATGTAAATGCTCCAATAGTAAATGTTGTTTCCATGTCTTCTAGAACCTAAAGTGTTTTCTAGAACCCAAAATATTAGAGAAAAGAATTCAAATGGTCCCCTGATTTCTTTAGGGGGCCAAAATAGTCCGAGGCTTTGAACAAGGGCAATTAATCTCCGGACTATCTAAACAACGACTAAAATAATTCTTATGCTTTTTAAATGGGGTCCAAAAGTATTTTATTGGGAGACCATTTTGGTTGCTATTTAACTCTTTTGGGATAGTTTTTTGTCTGTTTTGCATTTTAAACCTCCATCACAATTCTATTGTGGTTGGAAATTCTTTTTTTAAATCTGGCCTATGAAAGTGTTGTGTCTGTAATTAAACTGTTGTTTATTTGAGGAACTTTTATTTTTTGGTTAATTTCTATTGTGGTTGAAAATTCTTTTTTTAAACCTGACCTATGAAAGTGTTGTGTCTGTAATTAAACTGTTGTTGTATGATTTCTTAGAAAAAAATTATATATTTATAATTTTCACCTCAGTCTTCTAAGGATTTGTTTCATCCATCATAATTTTACGGCCACATTTTTAAAAAGCTGCAACCATCCCAAATAAATTTTCAATTGGCATTTTCTATAGTTTGACCTCCTGCTAGATAGTCAGGGTATTATTTTGATTCACTTCTCTAAATTATGAGAACATAAAACCCTTCAATTTTGGAAGATTTACATGTGCACCACTCAATTCTTTATGTATATACATATCTAACACATAAAATTTAATTTTTACCTACATGTCATCTTGCATGTGCATGAAAAGATGTATTTCAAGACCGCTCATTTTTGTGACAAGCAAATTCTTAGTGGCTCTTTTCTTTTGATGCCTATAGATGTTGATAGAGAACTCTCTACCATACTTGTAGATGACAGGTCTCTTTGTTATGCATCATAGATGCATCTTTGCACGGTATTGTTCCTTTTGCTGATTTTTTAATGCAAATGTGTATTTTCATGAAAAGTGTATTTCATAAAAGTTGGTATTTTTTTTGTGATATTAAAAACTTGGGGGATATAAATGTAAAAAGTACAGCTTGGGTGTTATATACGTAAATGCATAGGAATTGGATGGTTCCATTTTCCAGACATTTAAATTGCAGGACACATGTGAAAGTTTCTAGCCTGTTTTTTTATTTATTTATTTTATTATTTTATGTTTGTGCAGCTGTTCAAGTTCCTGCCAAAATTATCTCCAAATGTAGCCAACATCTTTGACGAAATGAAGCGTCATTAGAGGGGAAAATCTGAATTCATCTGCAGCCACTGCATCAGGCCAACATAATAATAATAATTCTTATTAAATTTTAATTAGAATGATCTTTATATTCACATTTATTCTGTGTTGGGGTAATATAAATTTTGATTTTTTTCATTTATGTCAAAATGAATTAAATAGATGTAAAATTATACAGAGGAGAATTGCAAATAAAAAATTATAGCCGCGTCTGACTTTAGAAAAAAATATTGATATAAAATATGTTAGGACTCCAATCATTGTCTAGCACGTGTACAGTTTGGGTCCACCGTGTATTAAATTATTTAATTTTTTTTATTAAGAGGGTTGGACTTTACTCGTGGCAGACAGTGATTGGAGTCTTGATGTATTTTTGCATCATGCCTCCTCATGTAATGTTTTCTCATGAAATGGGTACTTATGTGATCAAATGTCAAGCTGTAATTAGGGGTGTAAACAAGCCGAACACGAACTGAGCCTTGGTTCGCTCGTGTTTAGGCTCAGCTCGTGTTCGGCTCGATTATATTTCGAGCTCAAAAAGAGTGTTCGTATTCGGCTAGTTTGCTTAGCGAGCCGAGCACGAGCTGTTCACGAAAAAAGAGTCGTATTCGGCTAGTTTGCTTAGCGAGCCGAGCACCGAGTTGTTCACGAAAAAGAGTCGTTTTGACAAATCTAATCACTCAGCCATAAGATGTTAAGGGTTGGGAGATGTTTAAGAGTTGGGGCAATATTTAAAAATTATTGATTATATTAAAACATCATTTGAATCTAATTTAATATTTTTTATTTTATTTTCTTAATTAATGCTTTTAATTGATTTTAAATCTTTGTAGCTTTGTAGTTAATTAATTTTTTAAAAAATACTACTCAACGATGTGTGTGTGTGTGTGTGTGTCTATATATATATATAATTGATGAGTAGTATTTCAAGTCAAGTTTATGTTCAGCTCGTTAACTTGCTGAATGAGCCGAGCACGAGTTGTTCGCGAACAACAAGCCGTTTTTGACAACCCTAGCTGAAATACCATATTGAGTGTGACAAATAATTTGACAACGCTAGCTGAAATACCATATTGAGTGTGACAAATAATTTTAATATCTATATTATAATTACTGAAGAAGAAATAATATGTGGATTTAAATACATACCACAATATTTTTCATATTTACCAATCTTTAGACTTAAACTTTTGGCATCACATCTTCTAAAGAGATGCATATTTTCACGCTAGTTTGAACAAAATAGTGGCATATCTGTAAATATGAAATTTTAGATGTTGGATATGTAAATATTAAAATTTTAATGGTGGTACATATGCAATTCTCATATTAAAATAATAAAAAAATAAATTTGACATCCTTAAATATGAACCAGGGTTGCAAATAATAGTTCCAATAAGAGAGATTTACATGCCACTTAATCAGTTATGTGTTTACATATTTAAAAATTAAATTTTAATTTGTCTAGTTTTTGTCTTTTTATGCATGAAAATGTTTATTTTATTTTTGGGGAATTTATTTTTACATAAAAAAAAAAAGTCATTCAGAAGAAACAAAAAAAACGTAGCAAAAAAAAAGAAGAACGTAGCAAAAAAAAAGAAGAACTTCATTAAGATTTTACATATGACACAAATCAATAGCGATAAACCAACCATCCAAAAGAACTTATAAGGTCAAACATTTCTTCAAATACCTCTAAAACCCACCAAAATAAAATAAATTAAACTCAAAAAGAAAAAAAAAAAACACTTACAAATATAATAAAAACTCCAAAAAAATTAATATCAAATACATAAAGAACAGAAATAAACATGTAATACAAATACGATAATCAATGAATCTCTTCAACAGTCATTACAATTAATAATATGAATACTCAAATCACAATTCTACTATCGCATTTGTAATTCATTATCTCAAATTTGTCATATCGCTTGCACCTTCCCAATCATATGTGCAGGTCTCAAGAATATCATTTTCAGCACGTGAAAAAGACTGTTGAAGATGATACTCAAATGTCTTGGCAAGAACATGCTCATGATCTTTGTTTGTCCTGCACAAGTCGATGTCGTTGCGATATGGATGTTGTCGAATATAATTGTGAAGAGTCATCGTGATAATCAAAATATGCATCTGTTTGAGAAACAGTCAAGATGACATATTGCGAAGTATAACCCATTTCTTCTTTAAAACATCAAAAGTCGTCTCAATGACACTGCGTCGGGAGTAATGTCTTTTATTGAATATTTCTTTTCTGTCTTGCATGACACTGTTGTCTCGCTCAAAGTCAGGAATGTGGCATCTTATTTCAGGATATAGCTTGAGATACCCTCCCTGCAACGGATACTCAACATCAACCAAGTAGTATTTACCCGATGTGAATTGCATATTAGTATTGAGTGAAAAATGAATTATGAGAGTATCTCAGTCTCAAACGAACCTGTGGGTGGATGTGGAAAGTCGTACTTATTTTTCTGTATTATTGCTATGAAAATTCGACTATCATGTGCATTGCCCTCCCAACTGGACATGACAAAGGTGAAACACATGTTAAATTCGCTTACCACCATGACATTCTGCATCGAGGACCCACAATGTTTGATGAATGTAATCTTCTCGTTATTTGAAAGGCGTACATCAATACGTGTTTCATCAATTGTTCTAATACAATTCTAGAAAGATAACAAAGGATTATGTAATTACAATATTATTTTGAAAATTGAATGCAATAAAATGAAGAAATTCTGTTAAAGTATGACATATATCACACATCATGTGAAATCTATATGTGGGTCTTTTCGAATGTAGGATGTGTTGGATTTGGGACTTGTGATAAAAATATTACAAGTGCATTCAACCATATCGAGAAATATTTGCAAATTATTTTAGAGGACTGTTGAAGTTGCTCTATATTTTATCGCATTCCTGATGAGCCACAAAATTCATGATTTCTGTGTAGTTCCTCCAGTAGATCGGTGAAAATTGCTTGTGTCATGCGAAAAATATTGTTAAATCTCGCTGGGTGACCCACAAGCAACTCCTCAACCTATTTGTCACCAGTATATGAGGATGACATACAAAGGAAGCGCTCTATGTACAAATTATAACATTCATACATAAGCATACGACAACTGCAACTCTTCTTCTACACCTCTTTCTAGTTGCATCCATTTATTTTGGTATTGAAGTGACTAATACATAAGCATCAATGAATTAGCTGCAATCGTATAATGTTACGAACAAAACAAACATAAGCAAATAACGTTACGGAAGTAAATAAAAAATATGACGAGGAATAAAAAACTCTCTACAAAGCAATTTAAATATCCTAAGTGAAATGAACAATAATAAACAAATATAAATGCCCCAAAACGATTGCAAATAAAAAAAAAATCTCTCAAATGTTCATACTCTCATAAAAATATCGTAGGTACACCATCCTGCTGCTAGCGGACATCCTAATGAAAGATTATCTCCGGGTCGAATTTTCAAACAACTTCATATAAAATAAAGACAGTCGCAAGCCCTCAAAAAATTCAGGAATTGCATTCAGGATTTGCAGAACCTGATGTACAAAAGTTGCTTGAGATGTGTTTACATATCTGACACCTAAACTTTCAAATTTACATTTATAACTTTATCAATAAAAATGTCTATTACTTTTTTTAAAAAGTAGGATCCAAGCTTTTTTTTTTGGAGGATAAAAGCTAGTTTGGCAAACTAGAGGACAATGATCGAATAATTCCTCAATTTTCAAGAGGTCATGGAGAATCTTTGCAATATTCTGAGGCATGTCATCCCACAGACTCGTTTTTTTTGTTACTTGGTCTACTATTGTTGGAGAGCACGTTATGAGAAGACTCATAATCAACCTTTTGACACTTATAATGTAATAGTTGCAACCCTCCTTGAGGCACTCACCCAACTCATCTTTATTATTTCTTGGAGTAGTATGATGCTAGCTGACCTTAAGGTTCAGTTTGTTTTCCCTTCTCAAACCCTGGCCCCTATAGGTGATTATAGACGGTGCCCTTATTCTGTATAGTTTGACAAAAATTGGAGCAATCATTGGAGATGATGAGGGATACAACATTATTTTAATGGGATAGAATTTCACTCATTGGGAGTAGCCATTCATAAAATTTGTTTACCATGGATGTTCGAGAGTATAGACCTCATTATTGAAGAAGATAATTCTAATATCATGCAATTTGTATGCTCTACTATGCAAAGTAGAGTTTGGCAAAAGCAGCCTGCAGAGGCTTTTGATCTTGTTTTTCTTCTTAGCTTTAAGCAAGTAGTGATCTTTTTAACTTTTAGGGATTGTACAGGGCGACACGTTTATTTTTGTGCCAGGCTTGCCCTTAATGGTCCTTTCATTTTTATGCATACATATGAGAATAGTAAGCTCTCGTTCATTATTGCAGAGGATATATCACACTCTTGTGTAGCATAGGTGTATACTTGCATAGTTTTTGTACCATTTTGTTTGAGAAAATATAGCGTCCGGAATTTGGACTCAATCCATCGGCGGGCAAGGGCTTTTTTTTCCTCTTCCTCTTCTCCAGTGAATCGTGTCCGTTGTACCGACTATGGATGCAGTATTTTTTCTTTTTCTTTTTCTTTTATTTTAATGAAAACTACAATATTTCAAGAAAAAGTGTATTTTATTTTTCAAAAGTTAAAATGATGCATTTTTTATGTGATATGAAACATGTGGGCCATATAAACATAAAAAAATAAAATTTAGATGTTAGATAGGTAAATACAAAGAATTTAGGTGATATCTAATAAGTATGTAAACGTCCCTTATTTTGATCATATAAATTTTAAATATTTATGTTTAATAATTTTTCACATAGATTTATTTTTCTTGCTTTTAAATATAAATCAATTTATTCTAAATCTCTAACAAAAATGTTTTAAGGAATTTTGAAGGTTTTATCACTATTCAATATTCTGCTATATAAAAAAAAAGATTTTAAATTATAAAATATATTTTTATTTTAAATTAAAAATACAAATATAATAAAATAAGATAAAAAATTAAAAAAAACCAAAAATGATCTCAGATGACCTAATTTTTGCGTTGATAATTTTTATTTTTTAAAATAAGTTTCCAGTATATTTTTAATATATATTTTTTAAAATTTAGAATTTTTTTTTAAAAATATAAATAAATATAAATGATTGATCTCTCAGAACAATTCTTCTAAATCCCGCTGAAAAACAATCCTCGTTGCATGGAGTAAGGCCCTGACCCTTCGCCAAAACCCTAGGAACAAATCTCTCCTCGCGGAATCCTCCCCTTTTCCACGTATTCATCTCTCATGGAGGAGCTCGTTACCGGCACCATTGACAACATCTTCTCCGGCGCCGACAAAGAGGTTCTCTCTCTCTCTCTGCTCTGTCGCGCTCTTAACTGAGTTCAAAATGCTTTTGAGGATGCCTCTTCGAGATTTTTTGATGAAACGGAAGCTAACTGTGCTTTACATGTTTTAGGTTCTTGTGGACGTCGTGCGATTGATCCAAAAGCAGGGGTTGAATAGCTCTCGGGGAAATTGGAAAGAATTTCTGAACTCCTACGACAGGAAACTGGGTGATTCTTTGAGTGATCCTTCAAAAAGGTCTGCGGATGTTCTTACAGCTTTCCTAAAGAGCTTCAATCAGACCAAAGACTTGATGGTACTGCAGGAATATGGTGAAATTTCTGCAATTAATTTTCCTTATATGGGAATCTTGAATTGAGCTGTTTCTTTTTTTTTCAGTTTATAGGTAAAATATTCAGGCACTTTAGGGATCAGAGAGCCTTTGAGATGCATATTAAGAATTCCCTAAATGAAGAGACCCCTGAACAGGTACATTGTGCATTAGCAGAATAAATTTGGGAAGATTTACCTGCCACACAATTCCTATGTATTTACATATCAAACACCTACAGTTTGTTTTTTGCATCTATACGACTTAATTCATGCTTAAAAAAGTGTGTTTCACTTTTTAAAGTCAATAAAAGTTATATTTTTAGTGTGATATGAAACATTTGAGTGTTATAAATGGAAGGGGCATTTTTACATACCACCCAGTTCCTATGTATTTACCTATCTAATACCTAAACTTTACTTTTTTACATTTATACCACTCAAATCTTTTTTGTCACATCAAAACACCATCAGTTTAATTTTTAAGAATTGAAATACACCTTTTTCAACCATTGACCACATCGTCGAGAGCTTGTCTCCCACCGGGTGCCCGTTTGAATCACACTGAACCCCACTAACTGTAGCACCTTTAATGCTTACCCTGCAAAAAATAAAAAGTACCTTTTCATGCATAGGTAAGGTGACATACAACAACAACAACAACAATAACAAAACCTTTATCCCACTAAGTGGGGTAGGCTACATGATTTTTTCTCCATACATGAATCTTTTTTCTCCATTGAGTCCTATTTAGTGTCATGTTTTCATTTAATCCTAATAAATTAAGATAACTTTTTATACAATAAGCCCAAGTCTTTCTAGGCCTACCTCTGGCTTTCTTAACATAAGTCGAATCTAAAACATCTACTCTTCTAATGGGATCATCAAATGATCGACATTTAATATGATCAAACCATCTTAGACGACTCTTTAATTTTGTCTATCGCTGGAGCTACATCAACCCTATCATGTATATATTCATTTCACATTTTGTCTCTAAGTGTTTAGCCACTCATCCACCTAAGCATTCTCATCTCAACAACACTTAACTTAGTTTTATGCTTCTCTTTTAAAGGCCAACATTCAACGCCATAGAACATTGTAGGTCTCACCACAATTATATAAAATATTCATTTCGGTTTAAGCGATACTTTTCTATCACACAACAGGCTTGAAGCATTCCTCCACGTCAACCAACCAACTTAAATTCTACTAATAACATCTCCATCAATATCGCCATCAATTTGAACAATATAACCGAGATATCTAAAGTGTTCACACCTTTTAATAATTTGATCACCTATAGTTACATTTCTGTCACCAGAGCTACTACCAGAGCTACTACTACTAAAATTACATTCCATGTATTCAGTTTTAGTTCTACTCAAATGAAGGCCTTTAGATGCCAAGGTAGACCTCCATATTTCAACTTTTTTCTGAGCTTTTTCTCTCATCTTATCTGCGAGAAGGATATCATCAGCAAAAAGCATACACCAAGGTACATCTTCCTGTAAGTGTCCAGTAAGACCATCCATAACTAAAGCAAAAAGATATGGGCTTAAAGCCGATCCGTGATGTAAATCAATAGAAATAGGAAAATATTTGGTAAATCATCCTTTGGTTCGATTACAAGTAACAACTCTTGTATACATATCTTTAATGACTTGAATATGAGTCATATCAACTCTTTTCTTCTCAAGAACTCTCTAAAGGATATCACTTGGAATCTTATTGTAAACTATTTCTAAATCAATAAAAATCATATGTAAATCCTTTTCATTATCTTTGAACTTCTCCATCAAACCTCTTAATAAATGTATAGCTTCCATAGTAGATTTGTAATACGTTTTAACCTATATTCAATTACCCTCTCCTATAACTTTAAAGTATGTCACATCAACTTAATTCCTCTATAATTTGACACTTTTGTGCATTCCTTTTATTCTTAAAAATGGGAACCAAAATACTCTTCCTTCACTCCTCAAGCAAAAAACTCTCAAATCTCCTAAATATTTCCACACTTCAATTGGGATAGCATCCGGTCCTACAGACTTTCCACCATTGATTTTCTTTAAAGCCTCCTGAACTTCTTTTTTAATAATGCGACGATAATAATGCGACGATAAAAATGAAAAAATGAAACATTTTATTATTATTAACGATATTAAGATCACTAAGGTCGATCGTATTTTTCAAAACTCCATTAAAAGATTTATCAAAATTACTCACCTACCTATTTTGAATATCTTTTTCTAAGAAAAATACTTTTTGATTTTCTTCTTAAATATACTTTACTTAAGTTAAATATTTACTTTTATTTCTATTTATTTGGCTAGTTTATACATATATTTTTTACCTTCCTTGGTATCTAATATATTATAAAAATCACTGAAAACAAAATTTTTAACATAACAAGATTATTCTCTTAGACTCCCTACGGGTCGTTTGATATTTTTTCCAGTTCTGTAAGCTTTTACATTTAAACCTTACATTTAAACCAATTTTAAGAAAAATTGAGAAGAGTCACAGGCCAAAGACATAAGTAAAACATAAAGAATCAAATCACCACCAACTATTTTTATTTATAATAAAATGAATGTGAACGTTAAATACAAAGACATGCAACCAGAGGCGACAACAACGAAGACGAACAGAGGGGAGAAGGGGAGAAGAACCACAAATGTGACCTAAAGCCATAGTGAAAGTCAAATGGAGGGAGAGAGGTACAATTAGAGAGTAAATCTTCCTAAATGTAAAAATTGGAGTTGAGGAGTTAGATACGTAAATACATAAATCTATTTTCTTTTTAACCATTATGATCGATTATCATCATTACTTGATATTGCTGAACCCTATTCTTCTCGTTGAATATAGTATCATGTAGAAGTGGTGGTGGGCGTTGCTCGAGTGGTTACAAGTTCCATTCTAAAAGCAAAGAGCATTGGGATGGAATTGACCCAGTGAGAAATTAAATGTGGCCATGAAGCTTATGAATATGATGTTCATTTTATTTTGGTTTTATGTTAATAAATTTTTAAATTTTTTAATGCATTTTAAAATTATTTTATTTGAGGATGAAAGTATTTGAATATTATATAGTAGATTTTTAAATTGATGCTGGATAATTAGAAAATGTGTAATAGTAAATGATTGCAGAATTTATAACAGGCAATTTGTATAAAAATAGTTTTTTTTGTAGATGCCAAAAATATTGTCAAAATATTTTAGGTAATGTAAAAAAATAAATAAATAAATTACTTAATATTTATATGAATTAATCTATGGCTTATTTGAAACTTTATAAAATAATGATGCTATGATTGTAATCAATTATTCATTTGAGTTACTTATTTAATTTAAGGAGCATCAACAAAACGAAAATAATACAACAACACAACAAATTTTTATCCCACAAGTAGGGTCGGGCACATGAATAATTTTTTTCCATTGCGTCCTATTGTGTGTCATATTTTCATTTATTCTGATAGATGAAGATCATTTTTTATACTATTTACCCAAGTCATTTTAGGTCTACCTCTGCCTTTCTTAACATAAGCCGAATCTAAAACATCCTCTCTCCCAACAAGATCATCAGATGGTCGGTGTTTAACGTGACCAAACCATCTAAGATGAGTCACTAAGACACATCTCTCTAATCTTTTTTGCAATAGGAGCTACACCAACTTTATTACAGATATATTCAATTCGCATTTTGTTTTATGTTTTTTTTTTAAAAGCTAACATTCTGCACCAGTAAGCATTGCAGGTCTCAACACCATCTTATAAAATTTTCCTTTCAGTCTGAGGGGTATTTTTTAATCACACAATAGGCCCGATGCATTCTTCCACTTCAACTAGCCCACTTGAATTCTACTAATAACATCCTCATCTATATCACCATCACTTTGAACTATAGACCCGAGATATCTAAAACGATCACACCTTTTAATGATTTGCTCAACCATAGTTACTTCTCTGCCACTAGAGCTAAGACTACTAAATTACATTCCATATATTCAGTTTTAGATCTACTCAAACGAAAGCCTTTAGACTCCAATGTAGTCCTTCTTAATTCAAGTTTTTTTGAACTCTTTCTCTAGTATTATCCACAACAAGGATATCATCAGCCAAAAACATACACCAAGGTACATCCTTCATGTAAATGTCCAGTACAGACATCAATTCCTCAAGCAAAAAGATATGTGCTTAAAGCCGATCCCTGATGTAGATCTCTCTAATTCAAGTTTCTCGAAGTTTTTCTCTTGTCTTATCCACAAGAAGGATATTATCAGTGAAAGACATACACCATGGTACATCGTCATGTAAATGTCTAGTACGAGCATCCATAACTAAAGCAAAAAGCTATGGCCTCAAAGTCGATACCGGATGTAATCCTACTGAAATAGGAAAGTAATTGGTCAAACCTCCTCCTATTTGAACATAAGTAACAACTATAGTATACATATCTTTGATGACTTGAATATAAGTCATATCAACACCTTTCATCTCTAGAACTCTTTAAAGAACTTCTCTTGGAACCTGATCGTAAGCTTTTTCTAAATCAATAAAAATCATATGTAGATCTTTCTTATTCTCTATGTACTTCTCCATCAAACATTTCAATAAATGTATAGCTTCCATAGAAGACCTACCTGACATAAACCCAAACTGATTATTAGAAATCTTTGTATCACGTCTTAGCCTATATTCAATTACTCTCTCTCGTAATTTTAAAATTTGACACATCAACTTAACTGATCTATAATTTGCGCACTATTGTGCATCCTCTTTATTCCAAAAAATGGGGACCTAAATACTCTTCCTCCACTCCTCGGACTTCCTTTTAGTTTTTAAGATAATATTAAAGAGTTTAGTAATTCGGACTTCCTTTTAGTTTTTAAGAAAATATTAAAGAGTTTAGTAAACCAAGAAATTCTTTAATCTTCTAAATATTTTCACACATCAATTGGGATATCATCGGGTCATGCTGATTTTTCCCCCTTGATTTTCCTTAAAGCCTCATCAACTTCTCTTTTACTAATACGACGGTAAAAATAAGATGTTTTATTATTATTAACGTTATTAAGATTTCTAAGGTCGATCGTATTTTCAGACTTCTTTGAAAATTTTATCAAAGTATTTGACCCACTCATGCTGAATATTTTCCTAAGAAAAACACATTTTGATTTTTATCTTTAATACACTTTACTTGAATTAAATCTATTCTTTTTTTTTTCTTTGTTTGGCTAGTTTATACATATTTTTTTCACCCTCTTTAGTATCGAATCTATTGTAAATATTACTAAAAGATAAATTTTTAGTGTTATAAATTGTTCTCTTAGATTTCGTATGAGCCACCTTATATTTTTCTTAATTTGCTAAGCTATTACATCCAAACCAATTTTTATAACACTTCTTATATTTTATATTTTTTTCATATTATTATTCCATTGCTAACTATTTTTTATTATAAAAACTTTTTCTTTTGACTCTTTTAACTCATCTTTTGTCACTTGTTTAATATTGCTTGGTACTTTATCCTACATAGAATTCGCTTCTTCATGAACATCTCAAATCTTGATATCTTGAAGTTTACTATAAAATAATTTTATTTGTGTCATTTAGGTACCCCATCTAATTCTATGACAATATTTTCTTATATTTCTTATTTTACAAATTTTCGTCTTAAAATCCAGATTTAATAATCGATGTTGAGTGCTTAAATTTTCATTTGGAATGACCTTACAATTTCTACAGTCCCGACGATCTCATTTTCTCATATGAAAGTAATCAATTTGTGTTTTATTAGATCCATTCTTATAAGTAATAATAAGCTCATCTTTTTTTCCTAAATAAAGTGCTAGCAATAACAAAATTATATGCTAAAACAAAATTTAAAATGATTCTACATTCTTCATTAATCACACCAAAATCATAGCCACCATGAATATCTCTAAAATATTGCATCACTTTACCAACATATTCATTTAAATTATCTCCAATAAAAATTCTTTTTTCAAGAGGTATCATTTGTATTTGTATTTGTATTGATTTTTATAGGTCATTCCAAAATTTTTGTTTTAAACTTATATCTAAGCCTATTCGAGGAGCATAAGCACTGATAATATTAAAAATCTTAGTATCAATAACAACCTTTAATGCTATAATTCTATCTCATATTTTATTAATTTTTACAATTATCTTTTAAACGTATATATATAATTACACCTGTACGATTTCTAGTGCGACTCCTACGTAAATATCAATGTTTAAAACCTAAGCTATCGATCTCTTTATCCTTCTCTTCAACCCATTTTGTTTCTTGAATATATAAGATATTTATCTTCCTATGAAATATAATATTAACTAATTCCATTAATTTATTTGTGAGAGTACATATATTCTAAGATCTTATCTTAATATTAGTTTCACGGACTAACTTCTTTACCCACATCTGTCCGTAATGTGAGATCTCTTTCTTATTTGACATAGATCAAGGTACTAGTGTAGCGTCTCTTGCACACTTTTAACTGTATTCAAAACATATAACGCATCGCTTCCACGGGATGCGTTATCATCTACACAAGGATTTAAATGATTCATGTCATGATTTTTTCGACAAAGTTAACGTTGACTATTAACTACCTAATGCTATCCTCCACTTTTCTCATCCAGGGCTTGAGAACTGACAATGGGTATATTAACAAAATGAAAATAATCTTGAAATATATATTTTTTGTCATGATAAAATCTCTTGCCGTTATTTAATTATAGTGTTGTTTGATGTCCTAATCCTAGTTGAGTTATAATTCAAGCTTTAGAGAAGAGACTCAAAGCAATGTGATCAATGACGCTCCTCTTTTTTTTTTTGTTGAAATTATTTAGTAACATAATTGTTCTTTATTTTTAAGAATATTAATATCAGGATTTTTGCTTTTCAATGAATGTGAACTAATAAAATAGATTTAACTATCTTTAAGTGGCACCCATCATTAATAAAATAATTAAATAACTAAGATTTACTCGAATTGAATAATATATGTGATAATAATAAAATTTTTAAATTAAAAAGTACTGATTTTATTTTAAAATTAAGGTTTATAATTTATTTCATTGAAATTCCTAGCATATATTTTAGTGCTTGTATTTATGTAATTGAATAGATTCAAATTTAAAATTTGAAAGGTTTTGATTTACTTCTTAAACCAAAGTGATACTATATATATATATATATCTATCTATCTATATATATATATATATATTATTGTTATTATTATTATTCTTATTAGAATTGATCTTGATTTTTTTCCCAAAATCAAACTTTTGGATTTTGTTTGAGTGAAATCTTCAGTAACTTCAAATATTAGCTTGGATATATATTTTAAGGTCATGTTTTGATGAAAATTACATACTCTTTCC